ACTGTCCACCACAGTGACCCTCAGTAATGTGTGTGTGTGTGTGTGTGTGTGTGTGTCTGACCTCAGTGTGTTTCCCTACTGTCCACCACAGTGACCCCTCAGTAATGTGTGTGTGTGTGTGTGTGTGTGTGTGTCCGTGTGTGTGTGTCCCGTGTGTGTGTCCGTGTGTGTGTGACCTCAATGTGTTTCTCTACTGTCCACCACAGTGACCCTCAGTAATGTGTGTGTGTGTGTGTGTGTGTGTGTGTGTGTGTGTGTGTGACCTCAGTGTGTTTCCCTACTGTCCACCACAGTGACCCTCAGTAATGTGTGTGTGTGTGTGTGTGTGTGTGTGTGTCCGTGTGTGTGTCCGTGTGTGTGTCTGACCTCAGTGTGTTTCCCTACTGTCCACCACAGTGACCCTCAGTAATGTGTGTGTGTGTGTGTGTGTGTGTGTGTGTGTGTGTGACCTCAATGTGTTTCCCTACTGTCCACCACAGTGACCCTCAGTAATGTGTGTGTGTGTGTGTGTGTGTGTGTGTGTGTGTGTGTGTGTGTGTGTGTGTGTGTGTGTGTGTGACCTCAATGTGTTTCCCTACTGTCCACCACAGTGACCCTCAGTAATGTGTGTGTGTGTGTGTGTGTGTGTGTCCGGGTGTGTGTCCGTGTGTGTGTTTGTGTGTATGTGTGTGTGTGTGTGTGTGTGTGTGTGTCCGTGTGTGTGTGTGTGTGTGTGTGTGTGTGTGTGTGTGTGTGTGTCCGTGTGTGTGTGTGTGTGTGTTTGTTAAAACACCATAATATAAAACATATCTTTATAAAATTAAATGTCACTTTTTATTACCTTTCGTAATCTTTCAACAACCTCAAAAACAACATTCATCCAAATAATTCCTAATAAATGAAATCAAGAGATCTCACTGAATATCAAATACATCACATATTATGGATGCAAAATAGATAGTATTTTGCTTAGTACAAAAGATGATTTTGATAATTCCTAGATTTGGTCAATAATCATCTACACTTATATCTGAAGCAAGTCATAAAGTCAGATTTTTTTGTTGAGAGAGACAGAAACAAGTACTGTACAAAGAAAGCCCTTTCTAATATTGCGAGAAGATTAATCTCTATTTCTGTCCCAGATAATCTGAGGTTCTGCAAAGCTGATTTTACGTCATTTAGGCGTTTTTATGAGTGACATATAGTCCAGTTCACACAGAGAATGTGTTCATGTTGCATTACTTTACTGTTTCAGTGTGTCACACTTGTGTTTGTGCAACTTTCTGTCAAACAAATATCTCTTGCTTTGATATTTTATGTCACTGAGACACTTTTAAGTGTCCAAATATTTTTTGAAGTCAATGTACTCATATTCAACATCAGAATTTAAGTGAAACTCCAGCGTTTAATGTTGTTTATGTGTCTATGTGGTGTTTTTAATACGCTTTAAGACACACCATGTGTAAGTTCATAAGTCGACAGCATCGCTGAGTATTTTCTGCTTAAAACTGCAGTGAACCAAAGACAGTCTCAAAAACACGGTTTGAAATCGCTGGTGTTTCTGACGTCACAAACGACCTTGTAACCAATCAGATCAACGTGTGATCGTCAACCAGTGGATCTCTGAGCTGAGTGAGTGAGTGGAGGCGGGGCTCATTTGCATATTCATAGAACCGCGCATACTAAATGAGGCAAGGGTGTCGAGTTACATTCAAGCTGTGTTAAGAAAGAAAAAACGTTTAAATATGCAATTTTGGTAATCAAAGATGAGTTTTAAGGGATACAATTATTGACTACAGGAGGACTTTAAAGAAACTTAAACTGGTGCATCAAATGCAAAATAATATCATTGTAACACGCGTTTAATTCGAAACACTTTATTTCCGTTTTCCTTTTCGTCTAATGCTGATTTCTATTAATGATAATAATAACTGATTATAATTAACTGGTCAACAACTTTAACCATTGATTGGATACGTTATGGAAACAAAGTTATGAACAATTCATAACTTCTTCCAGTAACGCGAAAGTTATCTGGTCTTAAATAATGTTTTTAAAACATAAGCACAACAACATAGCGTTCCTTTCCTGAAACGTTTTAGTTTACGTTATTTTAAACGCTACACATTTTTTCAGAACGTTGAGAGAACATTCAAATGTTACATGTTTGCAAAATGGAATGTTCCACATGAACGTTCGATATCCAAGAAAAACGTTTTTAAAACATTTAAATGTTCAGGGAACATTCAGAAATTATGTTTCGTAATGTAATATGAACTTTTAAACGTTCTTAGAATATGTGTTTCGTTAGCTGGAAAGCACCTGTGAATCTATATTTAATTATCCGTTGAACTAATCACTGCTTTCAATCATTTAGGCCTATATTTCAGACACTATAATAAAGCACAGATTTTGAATCCTCCATCATATATGATTTGAGAGAAGGCTTATCTGAAACTCACCAGGGTTCCTCAGTGACGCAGGGTTACTTCTGCTGTTAAACTGACCCGCAATTCTCCTTATCGTCTGGATGATCCATAACTCATGACGTTTCTGTCTTAGAAAACACGTGTAATAATGTAAAGTCCGTTTTAAATAAGAACCCAGTGTTGAGAAACACGGTCAGAGCAGAACACAGAGCAACTCAACAGAGCAAAACACTCACAGAGATTAGAGTGAGTAGAGCCCGTGCGCGCGCTCGTGTGCGCGTGCCTGTAAAGCCTCTAATGACAGCTGTCAGTGCTCGTGATTTATAAACGCCATTAATGTAGGATAAAAAAACCCGTTTATCTTCGAAGAAAACAGATTTTATTAGACAAGAGTTTGTTTGGACGTACAGGCTGGCGCAGAAACTCGCTATTCTGAATGTCTAATAAAAGTCGAACATGTCTAGAAACTGTTACTGAAGATTCACGTTTGTTCCACTTGCGCAAAACACACAAATTACTTGCAGTGAATGTTTCCCGAAACAGAAACGCAAACAACAGCGACAATGTGTGGAGGATTTGCGCATGTCTGATGTGGATGTTAATATGAGAAAATCATCAAAATAGCCAATTGTTTAAAAAAAAGAGTAAACTAAGGTAACTAAATGCAGTTTATTAGGTTAAAATTAATGTGTTTTTTTTAAATTTAGATAAAATTTATAATTTTTTTATTAAATTCAACTAATATTTGTTTTCAGTTTGGAGTCAGTGTGGGTCATTTGAAGTGAAAAACTTAATATATAAATGTGAATATATTAGGGCTGTCAAACGATTACGTTTGTATATCTAATTAATTAGGCCTACATGATGTGGCGATTAATTAATCAAATTTGACTGAGAAATTATCCCCAAAAAGATCATTCAAAGTCATTATTGTGTTATATGAGAAACGTATCAAACAGACATTAAGTAGCTTTAGAAATAAATATGTATTTGATTCAACAGAATTTATTACATGTACTTATAGGCCATGATTTTAATCTAAATTGGTATTTATATATATTTACAGACCAAAACAGTTTGGTTACCGACATTCTTCAAAATATCTTTTTATGTTCTTCAAAAGACAAACAAGTCATACAGGGTTATAAGGTGAGGAAATATTGAATTTTCATTTGTGGGCAAACCAAAATAATTTTTTTTTTTTTATGAAGTTATACTCGAGTGAGTCATTGAGTCAAAGAAACTGAACCAACTGAGAAAGTTCCACTTATTATTAATAACCAAACTGGTTTTCATTCATCACATGATCACTATCATAATTTCCAGACCTCCATTTGTGTTCAGTTTTCATTAGTTTAATAGTGAAGAATGAGTGTGTGAACTATGACTTTCAAAGAAAAGTTTCGGTAACACTTTAAAATAAGGTTCATTAGTTAACATTAATGTATTAATAACATGAACTAACCGTGAGCAATACATTTGTTACTGTATTTGATAATCTTTGTAATGTTAGTTAATAAAAATACAGCTGTTCATTGTTTGTTCATGCTAGTTCACAGTGCATTAACTAATGTTAACAAGATTTTAATAAAGTATTAGTAGGCTAAATGTTGAAATTAACATTAACAAAGATTAATAAATGCTGTATAAGTGCAGTTCACTATTACTTCATGCTAACTAGTTAACTAATGAACCTTATTGTAAAGTGTTGCCAAAGTTTCTATAATAATCATGTATGATCATGAATGTTTACTTATTTTACGCACCTCCCAAATCATCATCATCATCATGCTAATTTTCTAAATGTCATAATCATTTGTTAACAAACAAGTATTCATTACTTCAATGAGCTCATTGTTTCTGCATTAAATCATTACATTGTTTAAATTAATACATTTTATTTTAGCTAACTGTGATTGTGTATATGCAGCATAACTTTCTGAAATACATAACTTAGTTTCCTCTGATAACAGATCACTCTAAATTATAATGTGGACTCATGCACTTTCTGTAAAGCTGCTTTGAAATGATGTGTATTGTGAAAAGCGCTGTGCAAATAAATGTGAACCATCATCATCATCATCATCATCATCATCAGATATGTATTGTGTTGGAGTGATTGTTCGTCTTTGGCTCCTCCCCCTTTTCTTTCGGACAGAAGAACTTCCTGTTGACGCTCGTGCGTCCTGACAATAGATCCTGATACACCAGTCCGAGTTTACATAGAAAAACAGAAACTATTTCACATGACAGCATCAAACTAAACGCTCATCTGAGAGGAGAAACCTCCCGTCCGCTGGATTCAGAGTTTGATCACAGTTGGAGCGAGTTTCCGAGGAGGAGGAATGCCGTTTAGCTCTATGTCTTGGTGTTTTAGACAGTAAATAAACCGTGTTTCTCCCGGTATGGCGGAGGCTCGAGCTGACGATGACGAGGAGCGAATGCGCGAGCCCGGCGGCGCGAGACGGAGCGCAGGTACGCGCGAGACAACAAACTATAGTTTTTAAAATTTTAATTAAATGGTTGAATAAATAAAGAAAAGAAACATTACCAACAATTATCGTCATTGTCATAACATAGCCTAACGCACTAAACGATACAGTTGTCAACTAACAATCAGGGCGGGCAGTATTAAACAACAAAACTGTAGGTTAAATAAATGTATGTTTCAGGTGCCACTTCTTTTTATTTTTATTTCGTTAAATTCAAGTTTTCACCGCTTCTCTTGTTCATTTAAATGGTGCTGTGATGACAAAACTTGTTTTAACTGTGAATATGCCATGGTTTGTCGATTAATATGTGCTCATAAAAACGGCATAATAATCATAAATATTTAAATAGGCTTTATATATATATATATATATATATATATATATGTGTGTGTGTGTGTGTGTGGTGTGTGTGTGTGTATATATATATATATGTGTGTGTGTGGTGTGTGTGTGTGTATATGTGTGTGTGTGTGTGTGTGTGTGTGTGTGTTACTCTATTCATATACAGTATACATATATAGTAGTCAACATTTGAAGTGGATCAAAACCTTTCATCAAAGATATACATGAATTTTGAACAATACCCGTTCTTGTCTTAGGACAACTTTTACAAACTTTTTTGATCCACTTCACTAATGTATAGGCTATATATATATATATATATATATATATCAATAAACCTCCTTCATTACACACAAACACACACACACACACACACATATATATATAGGCTACATATACATATATGTGTGTGTGTGTGTGTGTGTTTGTGTGTAATGAAGGAGGTTTATTAATCTGTAGGCTGATTGTTGTTTCCTCTTTACTCAGTATGAAATATGAATCTGCTTTGTCCTGGCTGGAAACTAACATATGAATATTAGTTTCACTAGTAACTCAACTTTATTGCTTCTGGGGAATTTCTCAACTGTATGTGAAATGACCAGAATGCTGTGCGATTCAACCCTCAGTATTCATGACATTTAAATATATTTATGATCTTAAACAGAGAGTAATGTTTTCACTTATGTAATATATTAACTGGAGAAAGCAGCAGAGTCATGTGTTCCTCTTGTGATGATAAATATCCACTATAGTAATGATATGGTTTCTCTGTTTCTTGTTCTCTCTGGTTTGTTGTAAATCACAGCTGTAGTTTCTTAGACAAAAGCTCAGTGAGTTTCTCTCGCTGTAGTTCATGGCAGTGTGAAGGAACCGACTGTAATCGATAGACTGAGAAATATTTAGTGTTTATATGTGTATAGGCCTATAGACAGAGATATATTCAAGTTTTCTTTACAAAATAAAAAACTTTTTAGGGTTTTAATTGTCAATAACTGCTAGTGTGTAACTCCATGACATATGCAAAACATTAGTCATTTGATTATAATTTTCATACTGATGATTTCCATACTGTTAATAAGTAAACCTCATTTATATTTCTGTTTATGCGTTTGCTAGACGCTTTTATCCAAATTCACGGTAAACATTAGGTTTTGAGTCAGTTGTCACTGATAGTGTCTTAAAGGGATAGCTCACATAAATCTGAAACTTCTGTCATCATTTACTCGCCCTCATGTCATTTTGGGTGAACTATCCCTTTAAATCTGCTGTTGTCACTGTTGAAGACTGTTATTTATGAACACAAACACTGACTGTGTGATTTAATGATGCGTTCTGACGTGTGTGTGTGTGTGTGTGTGCACTTGCAGAACATTCAGACAGAAACAAACCGGATCAGCGCCTCTCCAGGTAAGACGAAAGTGTAAAAGATTAGTTTTAATCGGTGTAAAGAGTGGCTGAGGAAATTATATTTTGTATATACAAATTAAAAAGCCTATTTTTAGAATCTTTAATATTCTTTTTTTGAGAATGTATTACGTTTTAAAGACTTTTTTATTTTTAAATAACAGTATTGAGAATTACTAAAAACTAGTGAACCAAAAACTCTGGATTTATTTTATTTTAAAATTACAATTTGCGTGAAAAATGTACTACATTGTTTTGAAAATATTGTCACAATGCAAACATTCATTATTATGGAACCTTGTTTCCACCACTAAATAAAAAAGACAATTCTGACTTTATTCCTCTCAATTTAGACTTTATTCCTCTCAATTTAGACTTTATTCCTCAATTTAGACTTTATTCCTCTCAATTTAGACTTTATTCCTCTCAATTTAGACTTTATTCCTCTAAATTTAGACTTTATTCCTCTCAATTTAGACTTTATTCCTCTAAATTTAGACTTTATTTCTGTCAATTTAGACTTTATTCCTCTCAATTTAGACTTTATTCCTCTAAATTTAGACTTTATTCCTCTCAATTTAGACTTTATTCCTCTCAATTTAGACTTTATTCCTCTCAATTTAGACTTTATTCCTCTCAATTTAGACTTTATTCCTCTAAATTTAGACTTTATTCCTCTCAATTTAGACTTTATTCCTCTCAATTTAGACTTTATTCCTCTCAATTTAGACTTTATTCCTCTAAATTTAGACTTTATTTCTGTCAATTTAGACTTTATTCCTCAATTTAGACTTTATTCCTCAATTTAGACTTTATTTCTCAATTTAGACTTTATTTCTCGCAATTTAGACTTTATTTCTCGCAATTTAGACTTTATTCCTCTAAATTTAGACTTTATTCCTCTAAATTTAGACTTTATTCCTCTAAATTTAGACTTTATTCCTCTCAATTTAGACTTTATTCCTCTCAATTTAGACTTTATTCCTCTCAATTTAGACTTTATTCCTCTAAATTTAGACTTTATTTCTGTCAATTTAGTCGCAATTTAGACTTTATTTCTCGCAATTTAGACTTTATTCCTCTCAATTTAGACTTTATTCCTCTCAATTTATACTTTATTCCTCTCAATTTATACTTTATTCCTCAATTTAGACTTTATTTCTCAATTTAGACTTTATTCCTCTCAATTTAGACTTTATTTCTCGCAATTTAGACTTTATTCCTCTCAATTTAGACTTTATTTCTCACAATTTAGACTTTATTTCTCAATTTAGACTTTATTCCTCGCAATTTAGACTTTATTCTCGCAATTTAGACTTTATTCCTCTCAATTTAGACTTTATTCCTCTCAATTTAGACTTTATTTCTCGCAATTTAGACTTTATTTCGCAATTTAGACTTTATTCCTCTCAATTTAGACTTTTATTACTCTCAATTTAGACTTTATTCCTCTCAATTTAGACTTTATTCCTCTCAATTTAGACTTTATTCCTCTCAATTTAGACTTTATTTCTCGCAATTTAGACTTTATTTCTCAATTTAGACTTTATTTCTCGCAATTTAGACTTTATTCCTCGCAATTTAGACTTTATTCCTCTCAATTTAGACTTTGTTCCTCTCAATTTAGACTTTATTTCTCGCAATTTAGACTTTATTTCTCGCAATTTAGACTTTATTCCTCAATTTAGACTTTATTCCTCTCAATTTAGACTTTATTCCTCTCAATTTAGACTTTATTCCTCGCAATTTAGACTTTATTCTTCAATTTAGACTTTATTCCTCTCAATTTAGACTTTATTTCTCGCAATTTAGAGTTTATTTCTCGTAATTTAGACTTTATTTCTCGCAATTTAGACTTTATTCCTCAATTTAGACTTTATTCCTCTCAATTTAGACTTTATTTCTCGCAATTTAGAGTTTATTTCTAGCAATTTAGACTTTATTTCTCACAATTTAGAGTTTATTTCTCTCAATTTAAACTTTATTCCTCTCAATTTAGACTTTGTTCCTCTCAATTTAGACTTTATTTCTCGCAATTTAGACTTTATTTCTCGCAATTTAGACTTTATTCCTCTCAATTTAGACTTTTTTTCTCGCAATTTAGACTTTATTCCTCTCAATTTAGACTTTATTCCTCTCAATTTAGACTTTATTCCTCTCAATTTAGACTTTATTTCTCGCAATTTAGACTTTATTCCTCTCAATTTAGACTTTATTCCTCTCAATTTAAACTTTATTCCTCTCAATTTAGACTTTGTTCCTCTCAATTTAGACTTTATTTCTCGCAATTTAGACTTTATTTCTCGCAATTTAGACTTTATTCCTCTCAATTTAGACTTTATTCCTCTCAATTTAGACTTTATTCCTCTCGATTTAGACTTTATTCCTCTCAATTTAGACTTTATTTCTCGCAATTTAGACTTTATTTCTCGCAATTTAGACTTTATTCCTCGCAATTTAGACTTTATTTCTCGCAATTTAGACTTTATTCCTCTCAATTTAGACTTTGTTCCTCTCAATTTAGACTTTATTCCTCTCAATTTAGACTTTTTTTCTCGCAATTTAGACTTTATTCCTCTCAATTTAGACTTTATTCCTCTCAATTTAGACTTTATTCCTCTCAATTTAGACTTTATTTCTCGCAATTTAGACTTTATTTCTCAATTTAGACTTTATTTCTCGCAATTTAGACTTTATTCCTCGCAATTTAGACTTTATTTCTCGCAATTTAGACTTTATTCCTCTCAATTTAGATTTTATTTCTCTCAATTTAGACTTTATTCCTCTCAATTTCGACTTTATTTCTCGCAATTTAGACTTTATTTCTCGCAATTTAGACTTTATTCCTCAATTTAGACTTTATTCCTCTCAATTTAGACTTTATTCCTCTCAATTTAGACTTTATTCCTCTCAATTTAGACTTTATTCCTCTCAATTTAGACTTTATTCCTCTCAATTTAGACTTTATTTCTCGCAATTTAGAGTTTATTTCTTGCAATTTAGAGTTTATTTCTCGCAATTTAGACTTTATTTCTCTCAATTTAAACTTTATTCCTCTCAATTTAGACTTTGTTCCTCTCAATTTAGACTTTATTTCTCGCAATTTAGACTTTATTTCTCGCAATTTAGACTTTATTCCTCTCAATTTAGACTTTATTCCTCTCAATTTAGACTTTATTCCTCTCAATTTAGACTTTTATTACTCTCAATTTAGACTTTATTTCTCGCAATTTAGACTTTATTTCTCAATTTAGACTTTATTTCTCGCAATTTAGACTTTATTCCTCGCAATTTAGACTTTATTTCTCGCAATTTAGACTTTATTCCTCAATTTAGAGTTTATTCCTCTCAATTTAGACTTTATTCCTCTCAATTTAGACTTTATTCCTCTCAATTTAGACTTTATTCCTCTCAATTTAGACTTTATTTCTCGCAATTTAGACTTTATTTCTTGCAATTTAGAGTTTATTTCTCGCAATTTAGACTTTATTTCTCTCAATTTAAACTTTATTCCTCTCAATTTAGACTTTGTTACTCTTAATTTAGACTTTATTTCTCGCAATTTAGACTTTATTTCTCGCAATTTAGACTTTATTCCTCTCAATTTAGACTTTATTCCTCTCAATTTAGACTTTATTCCTCTCAATTTAGACTTTTATTACTCTCAATTTAGACTTTATTTCTCGCAATTTAGACTTTATTTCTCAATTTAGACTTTATTTCTCGCAATTTAGACTTTATTCCTCGCAATTTAGACTTTATTTCTCGCAATTTAGACTTTATTCCTCTCAATTTAGATTTTATTTCTCTCAATTTAGAGTTTATTTCTCGCAATTTAGACTTTATTTCTCGCAATTTAGACTTTATTCCTCAATTTAGACTTTATTCCTCTCAATTTAGACTTTATTCCTCTCAATTTAGAGTTTATTTCTCGCAATTTAGAGTTTATTTCTCGCAATTTAGACTTTATTTCTCACAATTTAGAGTTTATTTCTCTCAATTTAAACTTTATTCCTCTCAATTTAGACTTTGTTCCTCTCAATTTAGACTTTATTTCTCGCAATTTAGACTTTATTTCTCGCAATTTAGACTTTATTCCTCTCAATTTAGACTTTATTCCTCTCAATTTAGACTTTATTTCTTGCAATTTAGACTTTATTTCTCGCAATTTAGACTTTATTTCTCGCAATTTAGACTTTATTTCGCAATTTAAACTTTATTCCTCTCAATTTAGACTTTGTTCCTCTCAATTCCGACTTTGTTTCTCGCAATTCCGAATAATATTTCCTGCAATTATGACTCTTTCTCGCAATTGCGAGTTTATCTCACAATTCTGACTTTATTTCTCACAATTGTGAGATATAATGTTAGAATTGGAAGGAAAACAAAGTCAGAATCGTGAGATGAAAATGTTGCAATTACCTTTTTTATTTTTTATTCCATGTTGGAAACAAGCTTCCATCCATAATGATCATGATTTCCCATAAAAATAGTATTTTTTCCTCTTGATTTGGGGTGAAATGTGATCTGAACCTGTGCAAGTCAGAAACCTGTTCACTTCTCTTTATCCGAGAGAGTGGTGAAGCTTTCGGTTCATGTCTGAACATCTCCCAACAAAACATGCGATAAGAACAGCAAACTCAGCACTAGCTCCTCCAACTCAGAACTGGAAAAACCTGTTATGTTACAGCAGGGAAAAATGATGAACTCTTTTCCTCTATAATCTCCAGAGCGTAATATGATTGTCACATCAAACAAAACTCATGCACATGTGTACACGAATAACACGCCACATTTTTGGCTTTGTTTTGTGACAAATTTTGGCTTATTTCTGCATGTTTTGATTTACCGTGTGTGTGTTTGTGTGTGTTTGATGAAAGTCAGTTTGGGTGTGGTTTGTGTTTGTGAAATGTGTTTCGGGTCATGTAACTGGAAAACTGGCCGACAGTTCCTGAATAAATGGAAAAAGTAACTGAGTCCTTCTGTTTCTCTCGCTTTCCCAGCCAAGGCCCGCTGTCCTCCATCAGAGCCGTCATCAAGCGCAGTGAGTAGTGTGTTTTTGTCCTGTTGTACAGCTTTATTTGGTGTGTTTTGTATGTTCTGTAAGATGTTTGCATGTGAGTTTGGTTTTTGTGTTTGTGTTTTTTGTGGGAAACTGCGCAGCATCGAGAACGAGCTCTCAAAGTGACCATCAGCGGGAACGGAGGTCAGTGGCCTTTTCTTTCTCTCTGTGTTTATTTAGGTGTTTTCGAACATGATCTTTGCCTTGATTTGGACTTTTCCTTTAATAATCACGTCTGATATCTGACTGCAAGCTCTTTGCTGGCACTTTTGTCTCATTTGTGAACAAATACAGTTGATTTATTTGGGGCAAAAATGGTTGGTTGTGCTGGAATTGATGCCACAACTGAATATTGAAATTTATTTTAATTTGTTAAATGTTTGTTAATTGTTAAACAAACTGTAATATTATTTTAAGACGGATTTTGGAAAAAGAATTTAAAAAAATTGTCTATACATAAATATACAAAATAATTAATGGGCAAAGTTCCATCATTTTATATGATTGTATAAAATCACTGCATTAAATATTTTTGGATATTAAAATGTCTTCTCAAAACATGGTTATTATAGTTAACTAAAACCATTAAAAAATGTCTGTTACTTGAAATAAATTGAATATTAACTAAAATAAAGTTAAATAAAATATAACATAATTAACCTTATTTAATTTTGTCTAGTTGCCAAAGCAACTTTCTCATTTTCATTCAATTTAACTTGATGTACTAACTAAAACTGAAATAAAAAATAAGAAAAACTCAACATATAAAAAAAAAAGAATAAGACTAAAACACACAACAAAATTACAAAAAAATTAACTATAATTAAAAAGGAAAATATAAAAATAAAAACTAATTCAAAATATGAACAAACTATAGTATCTAAAAAAGTGTAATAATAAAATCTCAGTTATGGTGGTCAAAACTGGCAGGTTATAGATATTATTAAACTCATCTCTTAAGTCATTATTAAAGGGATAGTTCACCCAAAAATTAAAATTAGCCCATGATTTACTCTCCCTCAAGCCATCCTCGGTGTGTATGACATTCTTCTTTCAGACTAATACAATCAGAGTTATATTAAAAAATGCCCTGGCTCTTCCAGGACATCTATCCATCATAAAGTGCTCCACAGCTCCGGCGGTTAATAAAGGCCTTCTGAAGCCATGTGTTTGTGTAAGAAAAATAGCCATATTTAAAACTTTATGAAGTAAAATAACTAGCTTCCGGCCAAATGCACATACGGATTCCACTTAGACTAAAGCGCTTTTATGATGGATAGATGCACTTTTATGATGGATGGATGCACTTTTATGATGGACAGATGCACTTTTATGATGGATAGATGCACTTTTATGAGGGATAGATGCACTTTTATGATGGATAGATGCACTTTTATGATGGATAGATGCACTTTTATCATGATAAATGCACTTTTATGATGGATAGATGCACTTTTATGATGGACAGATGCACTTTTATGAGGGATAAATGCACTTTTATGATGGATGGATGCACATTTATGATGGATAGATGCACTTTTATGATGGATAGATGCACTTTTATGATGGATAGATGCACATTTATGAGGGATAGATGCACTTTTATGATGGATAGATGCACTTTTATCATGAATAGATGCACTTTTATGATGGATAGATGCACTTTTATCATGAATAGATGCACTTTTATGATGGATAGATGCACTTTTATGATGGATAGATGCACTTTTATCATGAATAGATGCACTTTTATGATGGATAGATGCACATTTATGATGGACAGATGCACATTTATGAGGGATAGATGCACTTTTATGATGGATAGATGCACTTTTATCATGGATAGATGCACTTTTATGATGGACAGATGCACATTTATGATGGATAGATACAGTTGTATGATGGATAGATGCACATTTATGATGGATAGATGCACTTTTATCATGAATAGATGCACTTTTATGATGGATAGGTGCACATTTATGATGGACAGATGCACATTTATGAGGGATAGATGCACTTTTATGATGGATAGATGCACTTTTATCATGGATAGATGCACTTTTATGATGGACAGATGCACTTTTATGAGGGATAAATGCACTTTTATGATGGATGGATGCACATTTATGATGGATAGATGCACTTTTATGATGGATAGATGCACTTTTATGATGGATAGATGCACATTTATGAGGGATAGATGCACTTTTATGATGGATAGATGCACTTTTATCATGAATAGATGCACTTTTATGATGGATAGATGCACTTTTATCATGAATAGATGCACTTTTATGATGGATAGATGCACTTTTATGATGGATAGATGCACTTTTATCATGAATAGATGCACTTTTATGATGGATAGATGCACATTTATGATGGACAGATGCACATTTATGAGGGATAGATGCACTTTTATGATGGATAGATGCACTTTTATCATGGATAGATGCACTTTTATGATGGACAGATGCACATTTATGATGGATAGATACAGTTGTATGATGGATAGATGCACATTTATGATGGATAGATACAGTTGTATGATGGATAGATGTACTTTTGTTTACTTCAAAACAGAAACAGCCATTCACTGCCGTTATAAAGCTTGGAAGAGCCAGGACATTTTTTTTGTATAACTCTGACATTCTTCTTTCAGACGAATACAATCTTACACACCTAGGTTGACTTGAGGGAGAGTAAATCATAATTTTCATTTTTGGGCGAACTAATAATAATAATAATATGTTTATTTTTTATAGCGCCTTTCAAGAACCCAAGGTCGCTTCACAAAATAATACAAACAGTTGACAGACAAGAGACAGGCAACAACAATTATAACAATATAACAAATAAACAAGCAGAAAAGCAGATGGAGACAACAATAATGATTAGATTAGATAGGCAAAGAAAACATACATTTTGATAGAGAAAGCATGTAACAAAGAAGTGAAAAGTGGAGGACAGAGAGATAGAATGAAAAACAGTTATTTACTGAGCATGGTGAATATATGAGTTTTAAGCTGAGATTTGAAGGTCTGTAGGTTAGGGGTGGCACGGAGATCAGATGGCAGCTTATTCCACAGCTTAGGGCCAGCAACACTAAAAGCCCTTCCACCCACAGTAGATAGTTTATACCTGGGTACAACAAGAAGATTATCATTGCTGGATCTGAGGGTATCTGAGCAACATATGGTTGCACTAACTCAGCGAGATATTTAGGTGCAGGGCCATGACAGGCTTTATAAACTAAGATTAACAGTTTAAACTGGATGCGATTGACCACAGGAAGCCAGTGAAGTTGCCAACTATGCCTTTAACTAGCTGTTTTTAGTTAAGCAGGGAATCAGAGTGACTAAGGTACAGCGGGGATGTTATATTATAAACTTTGTTACTGATTGTCGTCCCGCAGACGTCCAGAAATCACCATCCTCTCTGCTGAACCCCTTCCGTCCAATACGTGGTTCCCAGGGAATTCTGGGGCGTTTCCCCCGGCCCCGCCCCCAGCCCCGCCCACATGGGCTGCTACCGCGGCAACAGTGCAGGTGGGAGGAGCTTGAGGATGCGTGTGTAGAACCCGTCATTTATTTATTTATTTGATTGGTTGATTGATTGATTGGTGCTCCTCCTCCCCAGCTCCCGCCTCCTTCATATGAGCAAGTGATCCGAGAAAAGAGCCGAGAACAGAATATTCCCTCTTCGTCGTCTTCATCTTCTCGTCTCTCTACCTGCACCATCGCCACTCAGACGGACACACACTCCCCCGGCCCACGATCCTCCGCTGCTCGTCCAGGTGAGGTTTCGTTTCACACCGTGACCAAACTACACGCCAACCCGTAACACGCAATCTTTTCCATGTTAATCAGAGTTTTTGTCCTAACCAGCCGTGACGGCGACACGCGATGATACTATTTTAGAAACGGTTTCTATCTCTGCGACGTGGCGGCTGGTACAACAACAGAAAGTATGATAATCTCAGGTACTGTATATGTGCTTTATGTGATGTTAGTTTGAATATCATTTTGTGTGTCTTTTACAGCCTTACCGAAAGCAACTCACCTTAGATCTTCAAAATAAATCAAAGTAAACAAGAGCGTTTCAAACTGTCAACTCATTGTTAGGAGACAAGTGTATTCAATGACAATGATTGTTTCAGTAAATGTATTTATAATAATGTTAAATGGTGTAATATTCATGAATTTGATTATGTACTTATCCATTTCGTTGCGAGTGCCGGGAGCTTGCCGAGAGAGCCCGCCCCACCCACGCGCTCTTCTGATTGGCTGTGATTTTTTTCGCGTCCCATAGTCGTGTCGCGTCTGGTGTGGACAGACTAATTATTTGTCGCTGGAATCTTATCGCATCGCATCTGGTTAAGACTCGGTGTCAGGCTGCATTTGCAGAAAAGTATTTCTGTGTTATAGAAATGTGTCTTTTTCTTGCAGTTCACAAACCCCCCAAACCCCCGCGCCCCTCGTTGCCTCTCAAACACACGTCTGACCCGGACCGGTCCAACCCGAAGCCTCGAGACGCTCAACACGAGCAGTGTGGCGTTCAGACTGACTTCGATGACATCACCGGTGACATCAGCCCCATAGGCCCCGCCCCCACCACCAAGTTTTCCACCCAGAGCGACTTTGATGAAATCATCGGTGATACCTGTGACATCAGTTCCATAGGCCCCGCCCCCACCGCCAAGTTTTCCACCCAGAGCGACCTCGATGACATCACCGGTGACATCAGCCCCATAGGCCCCGCCCCCACCACCAAGTTTTCCACCCTGAGAGACCTTGATGACATCATCGGTGACATAAGTTCCATAGACCCCGCCACCACCGCCAAGTTTTCCACCCAGAGCGACCTCGATGACATCACCGGTGACATCAGCCCCATAGGCTCCGCCCCCTCCGCCAAGACTTTCACCCAGAGCAACTTCGATTTCCCAGTCGAACCCATGAAAGAGGAGGCGAGGGCTCGTCCCAGACCTCGACCTCGCTCCACGGTCGCCTTGCGACCCGTCGTTCTAGACCAGCCAATCACGAGGGAGGTCAAAGTTCAGACGCTAGTGCGCTTAAAGGACGATGGGGCCGACAGCGTGTTCGCCGGGTTCGACGACTCTCCGTCGAACATCTCCAGCAAATACCTGCAAGACCTTCTGGACGTGTTCGGCTCGGACGAAACGCATGGAGAAAGTCAAGAAAGCAAAGCGAGTGATGTAGAAGATGAGAAAAATATGGCTGCTTGTTCTGTCATAACATCTGAACCTTTAGAACCGTTAGAACCGTTAAATAGACCACAACCACGTCCTAGAACTCAGAAATCCAAACCCCAGCTCGCCCCAAAACCATCAGTCTTTGATGTTTTTGACACTACCGTTGAGCAAAACCCATCCAAACTCCTGAGTCCACCGGTACCAGCACCCAGACCCCTTCTGAACAAACTCCAGAGTCCGTCAGAGTCGTGTTCATCCACTAAACCTTCACCTGCCACCCGACCTGCCAGTTCATCTCAGAGGAGAAACTCAGAAGATCAAGCTATAAACACTCCAGTCAAGAAGACACCTGTGACGCCGACCGACAGGAACGTCGGAAAACGTGAGTGTTTATGTGAACGGTGGATCTCTAATTCACTTGCTACTAGGGGTGCACAATTTTTGGGGGGAGAAATCTGTTTGGGATTTTTATGATAAAAATGGCAATAATATTGTATTTTACAGTACTGTAAAATGACAATAATATTTATGGCTTTGTTTTGTTTGTTTGTTTGTTTTTTATTTAACGGGGACAGATTTAGCTACAGAGCACAATTTCATCTGCATGTTAAAAGAATAAAACTACCAAGATAGTAATTTTGTAAAATGATCAATCATAATTTTTAAATGCCCGTTATGAATCAAAAATCTGTCAAAGATTTGATGTGGTGAAGCTCACAAAGTTGTAAAATCCAGTAACAAGTTCATCTGCCTGTTACTAAAACACAACTTTTTACCTGGTGGATATTAAGGGGCGTATTTTGAGGTGTATTTTGAGGTCTATTTTGAATGTGTTTAAATCCAGGTTCATCAGTTCCCAAACACTCCCGGCCACCTCCACCTGTGCTCAGGAATATGGCGTCCCCCTCACAGGTGATGTTATATTTGTTTATAACCCACTCTTATGAGGAAGTTTCCATATTAGCATGATCATTTCAGAAGTGTTTGATGTTTATGATGATGATGTGTGTATTCAGGCCGCTGTGGATGTTTCCAGAGCCGCCAACGCCTCAGTTCCTCCTCTGCCTCCGAGGTACCGCAGCGTTTTTCCTCCAGAATGAGGCGTCTGGTTTGTTTTGTCCCATCTGTCATTCTCTCTGTTTGTGTCTCAGACCCAGTGGTGGAAGACTCCTCCCCCTTCGCCCTCCTCCAGTCAAAGTGGCCAAACCTGCAGGCTGCGCCTCCTCCCCTACTGCGACCAATCAGCTGCCAAGCAGCAGAGCTCCAAAGAGAGCCCCGCCCCTCCCTCCCCGACCGAAACCAGGACATCCGCTATATAAGCGCTATTCTGTGAGTGTTTTTAGAGTATTTGAGAAGAACTCCAGGTCATTCTTGTTCTCTATGACTTTCTTTGTTCTGCAGAGAACAAAATGAGATCACCGGCAAAATGTACGAGCTGCTATTTTTCATACAATGAAAGACTAGAATGATTGTGGCCGTGCACTTTATTCCAAGTCTTCTGAAGCAGTGTTTTTATTAAAGATTATATAAAATAAAATATACATTTTAGATGAAAAACTTTGGCCTTGGCAAATAACTGAAAGAAATAAGTTTAAGTTGAAGCACTAAAATTACTTGAATTAAAACCGAGATAAACATAAAATAAAGCCATTAAGAAGCAATCAAAATAACAAAAGAAGAAAATTATTAAGATATAAAATGAAAACCAAAAACATAAAAATAAAAGCTAATTCAAAATATAAATAAATGCTATAATATTATATAAATAATACTAAAATATAGCTGTTATTTTAGTTATTTGATGTTATGTGTGTATTAAAGGCAAAACACTACCATTGTTTTTCATGCACAATTTTAAGATTTGGGGCTATTTTGTTTCCATAACTTGGTCTTTTTTCAGATTAGTGGAAAGAAAACATCCAAAATACAAATGTAAGTGTTTATTTAATTGCACTTTATCAATTTGCGTCTATAGAATTTGATCACGATGCATATCTTTAACGAGTTTTTTCTCCACTTCTGCAGCAGTTATAAACACCAAAATTTACAGTGTTATTCCTGTCTATATTCTGAAGGTCTTTACTGAAGGTTTTGTTCATATATCATTCACACTGGTTTATATAACATTTTATTCCTAAAACTTTTTTTCTTCTTGTCTGTTTCACAGTATTTTCTGATTTATGCAGTGATAAAAAGAGATATGCAAAATCTCCTCAGTAAAAACATTTAACTCTAATATGTCAACAAAATCAAACAAGAATTTTGAACCTGGTTTTAACCAATGTTCAGATTTATGTTATGCAAATATATGCAAATAAGTGCATATTTAATTGGATAATGCATCATTCACAAATTTAAACTTATAATACAAAACAATTGTCTAAATTTAAATCTAAAATACAAATGTTAGTGTTTATTTTATTGCACTTTATCAATTTGCGTCTATAGAATTTGATCACGATACATATCTTTAACGAGTTTTTTCTCCACTTCTGCAGCAGTTATAAACACCAAAATTTACAGTGTTATTCCTGTCTATATTCTGAAGGTTTTTACTGAAGGTTTTGTTCATATATCATTCACACTGGTTTATATAACATTTTATTCCTAAAACTTTTTTTCTTCTTGTCTGTTTCACAGTATTTTCTGATTTATGCAGTGATAAAAAGAGATATGCAAAATCCCCTCAGTAAAAACATTTAACTCTAATATGTCAACAAAATCAAACAAGAATTTTGAACCTGGTTTTATCCAATATTCAGATTTATGTTATGCGAATATATGCAAATAAGTGCATATTTAATTGGATAATGCCTCATTCTTATAATACAAAACAATTGTCTTGATTTACTGTGATTAATCTACTGGGGGGAATTATGGCAATATGTATTGGTTAACATTTAGTAGTGTCTTGCCTTAACTGGTAATCTTCCTCCTAGCCGCGGCTCTCAAATGTCACTCACTCGTTCATTTAAAAAATGGTGCCTTTAGACAGGCTTTGGCCAGTCGTCTTTGGTTCTCACATGTCATGGTTGAATTGCAGGTTGTTATGCTCCAATTTAAAAAACACATCGGCATGTATGATTTTCAGTGAATTAGGTCACTCCAGAAGACTTGGAATATAGTGAACAAGTCATGATAACGCCTGTGTGCTTATTGGGAATTTGACTGTATAAATCACCGTCGACTTTCAGTTCACTCATTATCTAACATTAAATCTCTTTGTGCTTCACAGAAGAAAGAAAGTCATAAGAGTGAGAAAATGATGACTGAATGTTCATTTAAATGTATTTAAAGAAGGAAAGTCTTTAAATAAAACAGTCAAATACTGTATAAACAGCTGAATTTATAGTGAATATGATGTTGTTTATGTGTTTGTGCACTAGAGCAAAGTTCTTCAAGCAGAAACAGAGGAGGAGAATATCAGCAAAGAGCAAGAGGAACCATCGGAGGAAACATCTTTCCATGTCAGTGTGTACACACACACACACACACACACACACACAAACACACACACACACACACACACACACACACACACACACACACTCACACACTTGCAAATTGTTCAAACTGTGTTTTTATATCCTGAAATATTTTCTGCTTCAGGAAGAGGAGCAGCTGATTGTCCTCGATGATACAGACATCCTAGAAACACAGTCGAATACACTCCATGACCTCTGCCCCTCAGAGGTCAAAGGTCAAGATGTGACTGTCAGTGGGGTTCAGCTGGAACACACACCCTCAGAGCAGCAGATCCAACAGAACATGCAAAACAGGTGAAACATAGCAAAACATAAAAACATTACAATGGATTATAATTTAAAATGAAAAATAATATCTTGTATATTTTAATTAAAAAAAAGATTTAATTAGCTATATATACTGTCAGCTTATTAGAATGATTTCTGATATATATATATATATATCTTTCAGAAAGTATTCTAATAAGCTGATTTGCTGCTGTCTTAAATATAAAAAATAAAGACAGTAAACATGCACAATTCCTGTATCAGTTTCTCTCTTCCTCTTTCCAGGTTTGTTGTGGCCCGTTTTGCATTTGAGGGGGGGGAGGGTGAGCTGACTTTCAGTGAAGGTGATGTCATCACTCTTGTGGAATATGCAAATGAGGAGTGGGGGCGTGGCATTCTGAACCGACGAATGGGAATCTTCCCTCTCAGTTTCATCCAGGCTAAAGAGGAAACTGATGTGTTGCCAGGGAAACCGGTTCTGGAATCTCCTGGTAAATAAACATTCTTCATCTGAATATTTATCAACCATGGACCAATCAGAAACTGTGGCCTATATTGAAAGCCAACATGTATTATTTATATGTCATGGCTTATATTGTCAGTCTACAATGTAATGTTTTTAATCATAAATTCACTGTTAGTGAAATCTTACATCCAGCTGAAAAACAAAATAACTGTTTATTACTACTTGCTTCTAATCAGACCTATATGATAATAAAAAATCAGTAACACTTTACAAAAAGGTTCATTAGTTAACATTAGTTAACTACCTTAGTTAACATGAACTAAGAATGAACAATACTTCTACTTCAACATTTACTAATACATTATTAAAATCAAAGGTTGTATTTGTTAACATTAGTTAATGCACTGTAAACTAACATGTACAAACAATGAACAGCTGTATTTTAATTAACTAACATTAACTAATACAGTAACAAATGTATTGTTCATGGTTTATTCATGTTATTTAATACATTAACTAATGTTAACTAATGAACCTTATTGTAAAGTGTTACCAAAAAATGCAATTATCACCAATATGTTTATACTGTAGATATATCATGCATCTCTAGTGTCTGTAAGTAGTTATGACAAATATATAAAAAATGGGAAACATTTGATTGCAAATAATTATTGTAAGTAGTTATGACAAATATATAAAAATGGGAAACATTTGATTGCAAGTGTGTTTTCTCCTGCAGGAGGGCGGAGCAGAGGACGAGCACTTTATGAGTTCAGGCCGGAGTGTGAGGACGAGCTCTGTCTGAAGGTGTGTGGGGTTCACTATTACAGACTCATGGACAATATAAAGGGATTTTATAAATCGTGATTACCAGGCTGAGGAAATTGAAGAAAAATCTTGAGAAAATACTTGAAAAAAAAAAAACAATCTGATGTGAAAATTCACATGTGAAAAGTTAAATATTTGGGCATAATATTGTATTAATTAATTAAACATAAATCAGAATCAGAATGAGCTTTAATCACCAAGTGTGCGCAAACACAAGGAATTTGTTGTGGTTTTATTTAAAATTTTTATTTATATTATTTTATTTATTTATAAAAAACATTTATAGATTGAAATAATATACTTTTATTGAATGTATATAAAATATAATTTTCTTAAAATTACATGTTTATAAATAAAATGTTTACAGTAAAATAGTAAATATAAATATAGTAAAAATAGTACAGTTACTATATATAATAATTATTATATAATATACTTGTATTTATATAATATAATAGTATTTGCTTACATTATATATATATTATGTAAATATCATTAAAAATATATTAATTAAAAACATAAGATATTACAATAATTATATAATATACCTTCATATATTTATGTTTACATTATATATATATATATATATTATATGTGTATGTGTGTATTAAAAATCTAATAATTATATAATATACATTTATTTATAATATATATATGAAATCTATACATATGTAAATTAGATATTTTGAATAGTAAAAAATATATTTAATAAAGATATTATAATTACAATATATATAATAGAAATATTCTAATTACTATATAATATACATATTTTCATTTATAATGCTTACATAATATATTGAATGAAATTTATATAATATATATAATTATAATAATTTAATATATATATATATATATAACAATCTAATAATTACATAATATACATTCTTTCATTTGTAGAATATATTTAATGATATATTAATATAATATATATGGGTGATTATATATATAATTTTAGATCTTAAATATTTAAAAAATATATATATTTGTATTAAATGTATATTATATAGACATGTTATATATGAAAGCTGAAATATTCTGGCATGGAAATTCATTGGTCAAAAAGACCTGAGCAGAATAAATCCATATAAATAAATAAAAAGTCATTTACACTAAGTACACAAAGATCAACAGCATTTGTAAAAAATCTCTGTGTGTGTGTGTGTAGGCAGGAGACATAGTGTGTGATTTGGAGGACATGGATGCCGAGTGGTTCGCTGGAGAATCCGGTGGGAAACGTGGCATCGTCCCTAAAAACTACATCCAAGTGTTGCTGGACCCATGAACCCTGAACATGTCCTGTCATGTGCCTGATGAGCGTTTCTACATTATGCCTTATTTAGATGTAATACACTTAAAGAAGGTCAGTGACGGGATGTTAGTTTGTGAAGCGTATGGAGAACTCCTGTATTCTACTGACTCCAGTCTGTGTGTGTGTGTGTGTGTGTGGCCGTATGAATTTGTTTACAGAGTTTTAACCCACATTAAACTCATCCGTTACATAAACATCTGTCCTTTTTTTTACTTCTCAATCTTTTTGACTCTCTCTGTAGGTACAATTTCAGGATTCTAGAGGTTTTAAGAGCTGAATGTTGTTTTAATGAAGACACTTGAGCCTGCGACTCAAAGTTTCAAGTCTCTGCGACTTAGGGCAGAATAGTGATCTTTGAAAATCTGAAAAATTACAATAGGGTTTCAGCGCTACACACTTGAACCCCTAAAAATGTATCGAAACTCACCGTACAAAGGTGAATGAGACCTCACCTTTACAGCTCTACAAATCTCTCATTTTATTTCTGGCACATTTTGGTGAAAAATGTGTATTCACACTTTAAATCGTGACATTATTAGCGCTCGGTTTCATTTCAGTCGCCGCTAACACGGAATAAAACACACAGACTCGCGTCTCTGGGTTTATCAGCTACTCATGATGTATTGTTGCAATACAAAACAAAACATGAAATTAATCCATAATTAGAATAATTATGAGGAGCTCTTGGCCCCGAACAGCCACCGTACAAAAGTTAATACCAGTGATACCACAAGCGATCGTTCAGATCGACACTTCAGATCAAATTAAATTAACAATTCTTCTAAAAAAGGAGGCATTTCATGGACATACACACACATTCTCATTCACTGAAGGCTGAAGATTTGGTGTAAAGCAAAGTCATAAAACTACATCAGGCTTGTAACACATTTCGTCACACAAATCAGACTTAAAGAAACATCCAGCAACACAATTCAAATATATCGTTTTCATTTAGCTACAGACGGTCTCACACTCTCGAACGCTTTCAGGTACAAAGATGCACATGTCTGAAATGAGACTATAATGATGCATCTGATCAGACGCCAACATCAACATGTATGTACAGAGAGGGAGAGACGGGTAGGACACAGTGCGGTAAAAATCAAAGTCGCTGGTTTAGTTGAAGCCCTGCGTACAAACACAGACCAGAACGAGAGAAAATTAACATGTCTTTTTCATGCACCAAATGATCTGTTAGTAATCGGTCTGAAAATCCTTCATGTCAAAATTTCAGTCTGCTTGGAAGGGGTGATGAAGAGCAGAAATAACCCGATCAATATGAAAAAAACTAAGCAACTAGAATTCTGAGGGGAAAAAAAGTCTGAACTGTCAGATGTAAATATAGAATTCCGGGGAAAAATTTCTGAATTGTGAGATGTGAATTTTGAATTCCGGGAAAAATGTCTGAATTGTGAGATGTAAATTTAGAATTCCAAGGAAAAAAGTCTGAATTGTGAGATGTAAATTTAGAATTCCAAGGAAAAAAGTATCAGAACTGTGAAATGTAAATTTAAAATTCCGAGGAAAAAATTCGGAACTGTGAGATGTAAATTTAGAATTCCGAGGAAAAAATTCGGAACTGTGAGATGTAAATTTAGAATTCCAAGGAAAAATGTCAGAAATGTGAGATGTAAATTTAGAATTCCGAGGAAAAAATTCGGAACTGTGAGATGTAAATTTAGAATTCCGTAGAAAAAAGTCTGAATTGTGAGATGTAAATTCATAATTCCAAGGGAAAAAGTCTCAATTGTGAGATGTAAATTTAGAATTCAGAGGAAAAAATTCGGAACTGTGAGATGTAAATTTAGAATTCCGATGAAAAAAGTCTCAATTGTGAGATGTAAATTTAGAATTCCGATGAAAAAAGTCTCAATTGTGAGATGTAAATTTAGAATTCCGAAGAAAAATGTCTGAACTGTGAGATGTAAATTTAGAATTCCCGAGGAAAAAAATCGGAACTGTGAGATGTAAATTTAAAATTCCAAGGAAAAAAATCTGAAATGTGAATTTCGAAAAAAAAAATAATTGTGAGATGTAAATTAAGAATTCCAAGGAAAAGTCAGAATTGTGAAAAAATTCTGAGGAAAAAAATCTAAAATGCTAATTTAGAATTCTGAGGAAAAATGTCTGAATTTAGTTTGGAATACATAAACGCACATGTAAAGGAAAATGTGAATCGTATCGGTAAGTTTAAGGTGCATATAAACAGAACTTTCAGAATGTGAAATCGGATTGGACTGAAGAACATTAGTGCACTGCACGTAAACAAACTGCGATGGATTCCATGTTGCTATGCGGTTGCTAAGGTGTTCTGAGTGTCTATGGGACTTTTTTCACCTGTTTTACCCTTTAATGTTAGAAGTTTCAGCATGTCACTAACACTAGAATATGATTAATATTGATGGTTGACTTGGCAAACACAGCTGATGATGAAGGTGTTCTGGTCTGGTGTCAGTGTTGAGGTTATTGGTGTTGCTCAGGGTTTCTTCTGCGCCTCCAGAGATCCTCCGGTTACTGCCAACTGTGATCTACTGTGCCATTCTTTGAAGTTCCTTACAATCACATTTAAGTGACACAGTGTTAGTATCTGATACACAGTGATATATATTTTAAGGCAAAACATTTTTAGACATGATGTTACCATGGAGATGATCCACCTGTAAAAGAGGAAACAAGACACAATGTTTCAGCTGAAGGTAATTATGGGATGTAGTGTGTGTGTGTGTGTGTGTGTGTGTGTGTGTGTGCTTTTCACCTCAGCCTCTGCTGCCGTGCTGTTGTTTGTTATTTTTGATTCAACACCTTCTTCCATCTCACACGCCATGTTGGTGTCCATCACAGCATCGTCCTGCTCACACACGTTCATGACAACGGGTCAGTTTTGTGTGTGTGAGTGTAAGTTTGAGTGTGTGTGTGTGTGTCCTCACCTGCACCCACGGGTGTTCCAGCACCTGGTCAGCTGTGTAACGAGCACCAACATTCACTTGTAGCATCTTACCAATTAAATCCTGCAAAAGACATTTAACCAATCAGCTGCTTCTCCTGACCTCATGTGACGCCAATCAGCCAATCAGCTCCTGCCCGACACATTTAAGAGACTTCAGCTAAACCTGAATAACTGCTGTCGATATCTCAGGTTTATGTCTAGTTATTAAGGCAACATGATCTGATTCCATTTTAATTCACAAGCTCGAATTCAAACCTCTGGGAAATCTATGGAAGCCCATTTCCATCACATTAGACAAAAAATATCATGCTTTGCCAAATCTTAATTATGACATCAAAAAGTCATAAAAAGTACAAATAATAATAATAATAATTTACTGTAATAATTATGACACACTAAATCAAAATTATGACTAAAAGTCAAACTTCTGTCAGGACCACTATCATCTATATAGAGTTAGGATTGGTGGTGTGGTTCTGTTCAGCCCAGCATGGATAAGAGCAGCGATAACCCCTCTTAGGATAACAGAACAGAATATTACTCAATTAAAACTGACAAATTCAATATTTTTCCATACCAGAAAGAAATAACATAAAAAAGTCGAAATTATGACATACTAAATCAAATTTATGACAAAAAGTCAAAATTATAACATGCTTATGCAGACCTTAGCAGAGGTGCTGATGTGAGTGTGTGTGTGTGTGCAGTGACCTTAGCAGAGTGTGTGTGTGTGTGTGTGTGTGTGTGTGTGAGAGAGAGTGTGTGCAGACCTTAGCAGAGGTGCTGATGTGAGTGTGTGTGTGTGTGCAGACATTAGCAGAGTGTGTGTGTGTGTGTGTGTGTGTGTGAGAGAGAGTGTGTGCAGACCTTAGCAGAGGTGCTGATGTGAGTGTGTATGTGTGTGTGCAGTGACCTTAGCAGAGTGTGTGTGTGTGTGTGTGTGTGTGTGAGAGAGAGTGTGTGCAGACCTTAGCAGAGGTGCTGATGTGAGTGTGTATGTGTGTGTGTGTGTGTGCAGAGATTAGCAGAGTGTGTGTGTGTGTGTGTGTGCAGAGATTAGCAGAGTTGTGTGTGTGTGTGTGTGTGTGTGTGTGTGTGCGCAGACCTTAGCAGAGTGTGTGTGTGTGTGTGTGCAGACCTTAGCAGAGTGTGTGTGTGTGTGTGCAGACATTAGCAGAGTTGTGTGTGTGCAGACCTTAGCAGAGTGTGTGTGTGTGTGTGTGCAGACATTAGCAGAGTGTGTGTGTGTGTGTGTGTGTGTGTGCAGACCTTAGCAGAGTGTGTGTGTGTGTGTGTGTGTGTGTGTGTGTGCGCAGACCTTAGCAGAGTGTGTGTGTGTGCAGAGTGACCTTAGCAGAGGTGCTGATGTGAGTGTGTGTGTGTGTGCAGACATTAGCAGAGTGTGTGTGTGTGTGTGTGTGTGTGTGCAGACCTTAGCAGAGTGTGTGTGTGTGTGCAGAGTGACCTTAGCAGAGGTGCTGATGTGAGTGTGTGTGTGTGTGCAGACATTAGCAGAGTGTGTGTGTGTGTGTGTGTGCACAGACCTTAGCAGAGTGTGTGTGTGTGCAGAGTGATCTTAGCAGAGGTGCTGATGTGAGTGTGTGTGTGTGTGCAGACATTAGCAGAGTGTGTGTGTGTGTGTGTGTGTGCAGACCTTAGCAGAGTGTGTGTGTGTGTGTGTGCGCAGACCTTAGCAGAGTGTGTGTGTGTGCGCAGACCTTAGCAGAGTGTGTGTGTGTGTGTGTGTGTGTGTGTGTGTTTACCTTAGCAGAGGCGCTGATGTTGTCCCAGTACGGGGAGGGGAACTCCAGTCGGCCCAGTAAGATCTGCTGGAACAGCTCCTCCTGCTGGTTCCTCTCGCTGCGGAACGGAGGAAACCCACACAGCAGAATATAGGAGATCACACCCGCCGCCCAGATGTCCACCTTCAGCCCGTACCTGACACACACACACACACACACACACACACGCTTTCACCAGCGAGTCAAACTCCATGTCGAGTTGGAGGAGCTAGTGCTGAGTTTGCTGTTCTTCTCGCATGTTTTGTTGGGAGATGTTCAGACATGAACCGAAAGCTTCACCACTCTCGGATAAAGAGAAGTGAACAGGTTTCTGACTTGCACAATAAAGTCAGAATTGACTATTGACAATTATTTTTCTGACTCCATTGGCAGAACTCCATAAACTCACGTCACTTTGACCACCGTTTCAGTGTGTAAGTGTGTAAGTGTGTGTTGCAGAGTTTCACCCGCTCTCTGCGATGATCTCCGGCGCGACGTACGTCGGCGTCCCACAGACGGTGTGTAGCGGCCCCTCCACCACTGTAGCCAGCCCGAAATCACCCAACTTCAGAGACTTGGTGCCGTCAGGGTACTCACACACCTACACACACACACACACACACACACACACACACACAGTGAGTGAGTGAGTGAGTGAGTGAGTGAGTGAGTGAGTGAGTGAGTGAGTGAGTGAGTGAGTGAGTGAGTGAGTGAGTGAGTGAGTGAGTGAGTGAGTGAGTGAGTGAGTGAGTGAGTGAGTGAGTGAGTGAGTGAGTGAGTGTGTGTGTGTGTGTGTGTGTGTGTGTGTGTGTGTGTGTGTGTGTGTGTGTGTGTGTGTGTGTGTGTGTGTGTACCAGCAGGTTCTCAGGTTTGATGTCTCTGTGTACGATGTTCATGTGGTGCAGGTATCTCAGCGCGCCGGTCAGGTTGAACAGCATGGCACTGGCGTCTCGCTCCGTGTACTTCGTGGAGGAAGTGATGGCGTCGAACAGGTCACCGCCCTTCCCAAACACACACAACATTACATACGCACTTATTAATGACCCAAGCATTTTGTTCACAGCCATGTGTTTTATCACTGAGGTGTCAAGCAAGTTTACTTCTCTCACACACACACTCACTCACTCACTCACTCACACACACACTCACACACACACTCACACACTCACTCACTCACTCACACACTCACTCACACTCACTCACTCACTCACTCACTCACTCACTCACTCACTCACACACACACACAGTCACTCACACACTCACACACACACACACACACTCACTCACCTTTACCAGCTCCATGACCAGATACAGCTCAGTGGGCGTGTCCAACTCCTCAATTAGCATAATGATGCTGGGGTGGTGAACCCTGCGCAGTATCGACACCTCATTGGCTATCAGGTGCTCCTGTCAACAGCAGTCAACCAATCAGAATTTCTGCTGTGGATTTTCACAGTTGTGTTGTGAGTGAACAGGCAAACATGTTTGCCAGTAATCAGAGCGGAAACTAGTGAAAAATGATGTTATTCCTCATTATTTTTTGCATACGTCATCGATACAGGTAAAAATTGCACTCATTCAATCATTTTAAAGTATCTTATTCAGTGTGAAAAGGCCTTGTCCACACTAATATGTTTTAGTTTGAAAACAAATCCTTTTCTCTCCCGTCCACACTGACACTGCGTTTATATTACTGAAAACAAAGCTTTTTGAAAACGCTCTCCAAAGTGGATAAATTTGAAAACGCTGTTTTCGTGTTGTATATGGACTGTCAAAACGGAGGTATTTAAAAACTATGACGTAAGTTTAGTCATGTGACGCATATTATACCAATATACATTCATGTTTATACTGGTATTGTGCCTGTTATGTGCTATTCACGCGGTAAAACATGAGAGTTGTTGCGTCGTTTTAGACCAAACATATAATAGAGTGAGTGCGACCTGGACGCATCAGTGAATGCTGAGATATTTTGCTAAATGAAATTATCCTGTCAGAAGAATTGCGCGATAACTTTATTATTTATTTTTCTATATCATCTCAGTGAACTTTTACACATGCGCAGGGGGCGGAGCTAGACTCTCAGTACAGTGGGGGCGGAGCTTCATCATGGGGCCCTCTGCTACCAAGTCATTTTAAAATTAAAACCTGTAAAATATCTGATGAATGCATATGTAATAATGTGTCACTTGTTGAGCCAAGTAAGCTTATATGTTAAATAAAACACAAAGGCTATCTCATTCTTTTCAGAGAACAGTCTGTTTTCTTTCGTTTTGAATTGTTCTGTAAAAGTACACATTTCCAGCTTTCTATAGATATATTTCTCAGGTGTGTGAGGCAAGTAGGCCTACTCTGTGTTTCGGTTCATTTATGACTCACAAGACGAGCTCCAGTTCACGCGCCGGCGCCTCCGTGTCGTAATCTATTGTCTGCTATATTTACTTCTTATTTATTAAATCCAGGCAATTGGTTGATGAAACATTGATTAAAATTAAGATACAATTAATACAAAACGAAATTCGCCTTAATGAATGGCTTTGTACTTTATGTTTGATGTCTCTGGGAAAGTTTTAAAGCAGTCTTTCAGTGCCGCTTTCAGAGCGCTCGCGTCCGTAACGGGGAACTGTCTCGTAACATTGTTTTTCCCTCATAAATGCGAACACGAAAAATAAGACAAAATGAATATTTTAGTAGTATTGTAGTATTGCTTTTTGTACTCTTGCCACCTAAAAGTTTAAGTTTTTTGTGCCACGTCCGTGTATTTCCCTCATATTAAATATAAAACGCATGTGTAGACTGATATTTTTCTAATGCTGGAATTGCCCAATTTTAAAGAAATTATCCTCAACTAGTTTTGTGGTGTAGTGTAGGTCTATGTACACTCACCGGCCACTTTATTAGGTACCCCATGCTAGTAAGGGGGTTGGACCCCCTTTTGCCTTCAGAACTGCCTCAATTCTTCGTGGCATAGATTCAACAAGGTGCTGGAAGCATTCCTCAGGGAGTTTGGTCCATATTGACATGATGGCATCACACAGTTGCCGCAGATTTGTCGGCTGCACATCCATGATGCGAATCTCCCGTTCCACCACATCCCAAAGATGCTCTATTGGGTTGAGATCTGGTGACTGTGGAGGCCATTTTAGTACAGTGAACTCATTGTCATGTTCAAGAAACCAATTTGAAATGATTAGAGCTTTGTGACATGGTGGAAGTAGCCATCAGAGGATGGGTACATGGTGGCCATAAAGGGATGGACATGGTCAGAAACAATGCTCAGGTAGGCCGTGGCATTTAAACGATGCCCAATTGGCACTAAGGGGCCTAAAGTGTGCCAGGAAAACATCCCCCACACCATTACACCACCACCACCAGCCTGCACAGTGGTAACAAGGCATGATGGTTCCATGTTCTCATTCTGTTTACGCCAAATTCTGACTCTAACATCTGAATGTCTCAACAGAAATCGAGACTCATCAGACCAGGCAACATTTTTCCAGTCTTCAACTGTTCAATTTTGGTGAGCTCTTGCAAATTGTAGCCTCTTTTTCCTATTTGTAGTGGAGATGAGTGGTACCCGGTGGAGTCTTCTGCTGTTGTAGCCCATCCGCCTCAAGGTTGTAACGAGTGGTTATTTCAGTCACTGTTGCCCTTGTATCAGCTAGAACCAGTCTGGCCATTCTCCTCTGACCTCTGGCATCAACAAGGCATTTCCGCCCACAGAACTGCCGCTCACTGGATGTTTTTTCTTTTTCGGACCATTCTCTGTAAACCCTAGAGATGGTTGTGCGTGAAAATCCCAGTAGATTAGCAGTTTCTGAAATACTCAGACCAGCCCTTCTGGCACCAACAATCATGCCACGTTCAAAGTCACTCAAATCAACTTTCTTCCCCATACTGATGCTCGGTTTGAACTGCAGGAGATTGTCTTGACCATGTCTACATGCCTAAATGCACTGAGTTGCCGCCATGTGATTGGCTGCTTAGAAATTAAGTGTTAACGAGCAGTTGGACAGGTGTACCTAATAAAGTGGCCGGTGAGTGTATTTTATAATGTTAACTTCAAACAATAGCCTACTAATAGTAATTTAAAGATGCGGTAGGATTGGATCTGGACGGGAAGGATAACGCTGGGAGTTGGAGTGTGTCGCGATTCTGCCTTCTCGCACACATTTCAGTTTCATATCGCATATCAGCCATCATTTCTAAAGAAAATGACAAAAATAGTAACGCACAGTAATTTGGATCAGTAATTTTAATCTGATTACTGGTTTGGAAATAGTAACGCATTATTACTCGTTACTGAAAAAAGTTACCGGCGTCACTGCTGGCGAGGGCCCCGTTCCTGTCCAGTGACGCAAGATCGGCGGCGTTTGAGGGGCTCCTAATTGGCACGGGGCCCTGGGGCGGCCGCACGCAAGCACCCACGCTATCTCCGCTACTGCGCATGCGCAATAAGGTGAATTTAGCGTTTTGAAAACGCCTGTGGACGGAGAACGTTTTTGAACGAAAACGCCGTTTTCAAATGTATCCAGATGAATGTAGACGTATAGCCTCAATAACAGGAATATAGGGGACAGATTTGCTGATGAGGTCACACTTTAATTAAGAGCCATTTTACTCTTTGAGAAGTTTAAGTGCTACCGGACGGTTTTGAAAGATAAAACACACTGAAACAAAACGTACCTTTCCGCTGCATTTGGCCTTGTCTATGATCTTCAGCGCATATTCCTGTCCTGTAGACCTGACATAAACACCAACGACATGAGATCTAAATATACAGAGCTGATAAATACATCA